CCTGGTACACGAGAGTTTGCGATACAGCACGAGAAAGAGATAGCTACCGTTGTTGACAACCTCAGGAAAGCCCATCACAGAATGATAGAGCAAGCTAACAAGCATCGTCGCCCTTCACGGTTTCAAGTAGGCGACTTAGTCTGGGTGAAGTCAAAAGAGTTGCCCCTGAGGAAAACATCTCACAAAAGTTGTTGCCTGCGTATAGAGGATCGTGGCCAGTCCTAGAAGTCAAGGGCGGAGAAGATGGGCCGTCCTATACTATTGAAATCCCAGCACACCTCCACACCTACCTTGTGTTCCATGCATCAAAGCTGTTACCTTGCGTCACAAGCCAACAGTTCCCATCATGCAGATCTATGATTCCTCCAGATATGGATGGAAGATATGACATTGAAGGGATAGTGGGTGAGGATGTCTTCAGGACAGGAGTTAGAGGTCGTCCCCAGAAACAGTACAAAGTCAGATTTGCCTATCAAGAGCCAGAAGACGACCGCTGGTTCACGCAAACAGAACTTCTAGAGACAGCTACCGATATAGTCGGAGCTTACGAAGGTCCCGCCTTAGACTGAAGTATTCTCGGAGGACCTCGAATTTAAGCGGGCGGGAGTGAAACGGTTCTCACCTGTCTGCAGTCACAGATGCAGGCCCTAGAATTCGATCCCCAGACCTCACTTTGCCCATGTACAGTATCGAGTCGACACCCGAGTGTTTGAACCCGTGATCTATGTTTTGGCAGTATTTGTCGTCTGTCGTAGGTCTGTGTAGTGGTAGGGGTTCGATCTGTAGGTCTGTGGATTAGGAGTCCCAGCTTTGTAGAGGTCGTAGCTGTACGTATTCTGAAAGGTCAAGGTCTTAGCTGCTACAGTCCTGAAAGGTCAAGATCGTAGCTGCTACAGTACCTGAAAGGCCAAGTCTACAGCCTTCCGGAAAGTCCAGAAGTAGCCTTTCGAAGCGTCTCACGTTTAGTCAGARGCAAGTGGGCAAGTGGTGAGCCTTTAGTCAGAGGCAAGTGGGCAAGTGGTGAGCCAACTGCGTTACGTCGGCAGTGCGACTGCATCGAGTTGGCAGTGCAATCCCATGCAGTCAGCGGCACCGGTCCCACTCAGTCAGAGTCCAGTCAAGCAAGTACCGTGTGGGACTGTGTGCACCAAGGGCCTGGGAAAGGGGCAGACCAACGAGTTACAGAAGTAGAAATCAAGGCTCAGCCATTCATTCATTCGCTGCGTAAGCCATGCGGAAGCGCTGCTACAGCGTCTTGTGCGAAGGTGGTCTGCAGGTTGCCCGAAGACAAAGTGGGCTGAAGAGAGATTGTAGCCATAGTCAGTAGTGGTAGTGCGGCCATAGCCTGTTGCGGCAAGTGGGAGGAAATTAGACATGGTGGTATTCAGGGTGATCCAGAGTGAGCGTGTGTGAACAGTGGGGTTGGACACAGTGACGAAGGTTGGGATGTTCAGGCGCCGATGCGCCATAGGCTGTTGAAGAGAGCTTGCATCTGGACTGTGTTCTTGATTTCCATATCTCTAAGCTTTGATTGGGCGCCCTGCGCCAGTGTGAATCTCCACCTGTTTGCATGTGTGCAAAGTGGAAAGAAAGCGAGTCTGATTGCATGTCTTTGCTGCTGCTGCTGCACTTTATTATTGGGGCAGATAATAATGCCAGATATCGATTTTCATTTTCACATGTTGAACTTGTTATACGCTATGAGGTTGGTCATCCGACGCTTGTAAGGACTTCTCAGTGTTCCCATGATCGTTGTCCACGATGCATGCCGTACATAGTGTGTAGCAATAACGGCACGTGTCTGAAACCTGTAGGCGGTTTTCCATCATCCCTCTGCTGAGGATAGGGATGAAGTTGTGCAATCTGCAACTGTCTGATCTGTGCTTTGCTTGCCCATTTTCGTGTTGATTTCAGGACCTCTATTCTCATTGGCATCAATCCAGGAAATGAAATAGCTACATGCTATGATCATTCTCATGTTTCCTTTCACTGTCGAAAAGGAACCTTCACCTCATTGACAGTCTTTGTGGCATTGTGCCAATGTGCCCCCTTCTGAAAGGCTGTGCCGTCTAGCTCTATCGTGATGGACACGGTTCTAAGGCCCTCTTCAAGCCATGGATGCTTTTCTCCAATACTACCGCCTAACCCTGGCATTTTTGTGAGTTATATCTTCCTGTATTTGTAACAAGTTCATAACCCTGCTGGTCTCAACTTCAGACAAACAGGGCCATGCATTTTAAAAATAACAATTTGTATAGAGTCTTCTTTAAAAAACAAGTATACCAATCTATACTCAATTATTCGAAGGATGTGATCTTAGAACTTGCTTATACTAAATATACCATAAGTGGTAATTTGGCTTTTTGGCTTGGAAGTCTTTCTGTATTTTTGACTTCTTATTATTCTTTTYGTTTACTTTTTCTCACTTTTCTTGCTCCAACCAATGCTTTTAAGCGAGACATCGAAAGATGTCATGATGCTCCTACTCTGATGGCAATCCCTTTAATCGGCTTGGAGACTTTTGCCGTGTTCGCGAACGTAAGAGTTGCTTTCCATTCATTGGATCTTTGAATCCTTCTCTGAGTCAGTTTACGTTGAACTTGTGTGAACTGTATGGAACGGTGTGCTAAGAGGACTGTGAAGAATCACCATATGATGCTGATGTTTGCGCTGAGAGCTTTCTTGGTTGAGCTTGCCTTTTCCCTGCAGGCCAAGTCAAATGGGAGGAGCTCTTTCGCGGACTTGTCCGGGCAAAATACAAGGGTCCATTGACCTTCGAGTCATTCTCCTCCAAGGTGGTCAACGCAAGGTTGTCCAATGATTTATGCGTCTGGCGTAATTTGTAAGAGAACAATACCTTTGATCTCTCTCTCTCTCTCTCTCTCTCTCTCTCTCTCTCTCTCTCTCTCTCGCGCGCGCGCGCGCGCGCGCGCTCGTTCTCGTCAAACTTTTCTTTTGCTGTTTTTTCCTCCACACCTACTTCACCCATCAAACCTTCACTATCTTTCTAGTCCACATGATCTGAAGTAGGAGAGCCTCCCAAGCTGCCACACACACACAC